TATTTATTTACGATTCTGCAATATTTGTGAAATTTAGTCAACAGAATAATATGTGAAAGGACACGTAAAGTGAAAAGTTGAGATATATACAATGAAGTATACAAACGAATATCATTTTTTTTTCTCTTCTTTCATTATTTACTTACAGCAAACAGAACAGAGCACAATTATGTGCACGTTTTATAATTCTTTGTAGTTGTTGACGGAGCAATTTATGTTTTCACGTTCTTCCTCTTCCTTTTTTTTAATATAAAACTTCTCTGTGATTATTCATTAAGAAGGAGGAAAANACACTCAAAACATGATTACTCAATAGGATGATGGTTTCATAGTGCCAATGAAGAAGATAGAACGATATTAGTCATCAGTAATTAAGAAAAAAAAATCAACATAACCGTCGATTATCCACTGTGGCTCCCGGTAAACGTGCCAAAATTGGGCAAAATATGTTCTATTCTTACACAATTTATACATATTCTGAAAGAGGACAGTCAGGGCTACAAGAAGATGTACTTTTTCAAAAATCGAGTTTTTCAAGAAAAATCGACTTTCGGAGTGGGGGTTCCCCCTTAATGGGTAAATTACTCTCTCTTTTAGGGCTATTTATAGGAATATCATATATTCACCTTTTAAAAATCAAGCAGACAAACGATTATAGCACCGTATTTCTTCTTGAAAATTTGCAGAAACCTGAGTGTAGAAAAGAGAATGAATGTTTTTTTAATCAATTTCTATTAATCAATTAATAAGCGTTCAAGAAAATGGCAAGTTTTTGCCGGTTTTTAACGATCTAAAACCTTTTATGAGATGGTCGGTCGAACCGGTTACAATTGTGAGGTTGCTATCAGTCATGCCTATCAAAATATAAGTTCTTAACAAAACTTAGCATTAATGCTCAATGAGTTGTGTATCCCTCAGTATCATACAGAAGCTATGAAAATCATTATTTTGGGAAAAATCTTGATATTGGTATCATTGAAGTCAACGAAAAGCGATTAACTTTCAGCATATTCTTACAGGATTAAAATGTGAAACACGATGCATGTATTCTACTTATAAACACAAGTCTTATCCACGTCGATAATCTTATTCATCACGGCTAGAGAGGCAAACACATCAAACGACTTTTAAAGTGCTTGAAGATAGAAAACATTGTCTCGTCTATCTATCTGTCCGCCACAGTCTAAGAGGCAGACTGAAAAAAGAAGCTCACTTTTTTTGCTGTATGCTGCAACAATTATTTCCAATGGTGTTTCACAAAAACGATAAAATGAAATTAAATCCAGCATTTCGAAATCTAATTTTGAGAAACACGATTGTTAATGAATGATGTTCAAGTATATTGCGAGAAAACTGAAGCTATGTCACAGCCTACAGGTCGCGTCAATTATGTCTACATGCTATTAGGATTTTTTGACCATGGATTCATATATTGCAATAATTGCTTCTTTAGCTAAATAATTATTGGAATAAATGTATAACATCTATGAGGTGGATAGGATCCGAAAGCTCTCGCATACAAACTTACAGTCAGGATTTCCTTGAAAGTACACGAAATGCTATATCAACTATTCTGGATCTTTATTTACACTAATCAAAAGGTGATTTCTTTAAATATAGGATAGAGTATTCCTTATTTTACGATATGCACGAAAATCTGACTAATGTTTTACTCATTGAGTTGATTTTCAGTTCGAGAAACCTTCGTTGTTGCCTAATATTTATCGCATTGCTACAAGAAACGTTCATCTGAGACCGATTGATTTGTTCCTAGGTCTAAAGATAACGAAAATCAGTACAAGTAAAAATGTTTGTAGAATGATCAGAAGCTCTCAGGACAATGTCCGTTGAAGCAAAATATGAAAAATTTATTGTTCTTCAAATTTCAAACTTCATCACCTGGGACATCAAAACATCGAACATTGAAAATTTCATGGATCAAAAAATTACCATATTATATGTGTCATGGTCAATGAGTTACTGACTTCGACTCGAGCAAAAGATTGAACAAGACGGTGAGATAATGCATCTTTCGATTTTAACATTTAAAATCCTTATAGAACTCAAAAGACCATTGCAATCTGATAATACAAGCCCAAAAAGTGTCTTATAGTTCGAAAACAAAAATGGGCTAACCAGCTAATACAAAGAAAAATCACAACACACAGAAACGAATGAAAAACTTTGAGTCTTCTTGTTAGGTATATCATACTAAAATCTTTTTTTTGGCGGCATCCAATATACTCTAGGAAGAAACTTAGAAGAGCTAGTGCTAAGATCGAAAAAGTTATTTGTTGTTGATACATGCGTATGGCAAATTAAAACAGAAAGCGCCTCCGCATAAGATATAATGATGTAATTACAGTTTCTAGAACTTATCCTTTTAATGTAGGAAATTAGTGATATGACCTTCATCAGCAAGCAAACAACTGCATCACACGCTCTTTTCTCTTTCTTTTTATCGTGTTTTTTTTATGTGGATAATGACGACAAGAGTATCGTTTGGATGAAACTCATCAATTCGTTAGGATCTGCCATGGTATTATCAATATAAGGCTATATTATTGTTAAAGTATTAAATAATGTAAAAAATCAGAAAGAATTTTTTGTATTTAAAATATTGTTTTTGTTCGTTATATCGATCTTTTGAGATAATTAATTTTACGAAACTATGTTGCAAACAAGAGCATCATGAAAGGGAAGACTACTTCTGTAAACAAACATTACCCTTATCATACATTTGTCAATACAAAAATACATGTTGTACATCTTCAATGTCACATAATCATATGAGATGCATGGGGTTCAACCAAAACTGATAAAAATCTCCATGTTTGGTTAGTAACTCTTTAAAGACAATGTTCAGAGTTCTATCACCTAGAATGTCTGTTTAAAGAATATTACCGAATAGAAATTGTGGCACTTGTCCAAAACAAGGTCTATGCAGAGTGAAATATTTTATTTTAATGTAAACAATCAACAGAGCAAAAAATGCTGCTACAAGAAAGAGAGCAACAGCAAGCATTATTGTGTGACGTGCAAAGAGTAGGAAAGAAAAATAAATCGAACCTTACTTGTGTTTGCACACTGCCATGCGCCGTGCAAAGAAGAAAAAAAAAACAATTGTAATACGAGAGGCGACCTGCCAACAACAACAAGTGCAGTAACCAAGATTTTTTTTCGAAGATAGTCAGCAAAAACACAGAATGATATGTACTTTGTTGATGACAAATACTCATACCCAATCGAAAGCAAAAAGAAATAGGATAGACAGTTTTTTAGCAACTCAAGAATTGAAGCAACCAGACAATTGGAGTTTTCCTTGTTTGAAAGATCAGGGATGCAAATTCATAGAAAATCTTAATTGAGCGCAATCGATCTATTAGGTAATTCTTTAACGTAAGCTGTTATAGAGTGATCCATGATCTGATATCAACTCGAAAGAGAATTATTTAATAACGACTGGTCTTTCGTTTAAAAGCTCTGATATGAGTCATGTGACATTGAATCGTTGTACACTAACGATACGCCGCTAGGGATATTCTGAGCCAAAATTGATTTCAGCTTCGATCCAACAACTATTAAGAGCCTGTTCAAATGTAATCATTTTATCTAATGACCAGACTTTCACACAATACTTATTCTCCAGAACGCTTAAGTAGCGGCAACACCAAAGTTTTTAGCAAGAATGGATTCAGTTTCTTTTCATCTTCTAAGTGCTAATAAGTGCAGTGAAAATTCAACGATATGGTGGATGAAAGTGTTATTGTAAGTTTATATTTTATTTTCATGTGTAAATAGCTTAACTTCTTCTTTATGTCACACATCTATAAAATTTTCATCATGTCTTTGAATTTGTCCTCATATATTTCATTTTTTTTCTTTTCTATGGAGCCGTCAAATTGCGCACGAGCTCGCTCAGGTATGTGTAACAAGTGAAAAGAGAAAGGAATACTAAATAGAAATGCACATGCATCGAACAAACTTTTTTATTTTACAAAGAAGAATAAAGCTTTTTTTTTCAATACGAGCATAATCATTTATATGACAAACATGTAATGGAAAACATACAGTTTTACTAATAAAGTGAGTTGTCTCTTGCGATTAATATATTTTATCCATTGATGAATTAGACGACGAATGATAACAGCTGTCGAAAAGTGCAGATCGAAAGAACTTCGAATTTCGCTTCTGGATCGCATAGAAATTTACGAATGATATTAATTCGTAACCTTTTCCTCACCTATGTTCTTCCAAATTTGGTGTTCAACTAATCTTAAAATCGCTTATATTTCGCTGTTAGTCCTGATGATGTTTGAATTCATCAAGAAAGTGTCAAAATTCTTTTGAATCTAGAATAACATCAAATCTCTGCTATAAACAACACCTATTCATTTAGAACTTACCAATAATAACAAACAATACAATTAACATATGACGCAGCTTTAATGTGTTCCAACAGAAATGCCAGCCAAATATTTTTCGAATGAACTGTTCACATGAATAGATTAAGGTTATTATTACATGATCGCATTTTCGTTTCTCAGTACATATACTAACAATGGGTTCAAGTTGAAGTCAGAACATTGAGACTTTGTTCGAAGTCAGTGATATCTAGTTTGATTATCATGAGCAAAACTACTAGTTTGTCGACAAAACGAGACATGGAGGCATGCGAATGTAAACTGATATATGCTGTTATACAATTCATATTAGGAACAATGATGTAATCAATAGATCAGACTATATACTACTTATGAGATTTAAGCTACACAGAAGAAAAAGAGTGGCAAGACATATTTCACTACTTTAGATCAATAGAAGTCTATTGAGCAAAATATTTTCAATTCATTCAAATTGTACTCTTTTCTTCGGGTTTAAGTGGTACCAGCGTTGAAAGTAATAATACACGGCAAAGACGACGGAGAACATTTTCTAGATTTATTGTCAATGAGTCAGTACGTGTTTCATTTATTAATTTTGTAGATTGAAAAAACGAAATGTCACTAGAATCTTATTGGACTATAACGCATGGTCATGCAAATCGTACTGGCTGGAGTTGTCGAGAATGTCGTACTGTAATCTGCCAAGGTGAACCGATAGTGATACGCGATGGACGAAAGCTTCGTTTAATGTATCATGAACGCTGTTATAGTGGTAGTTCAGATCCGCGTACACAAACTGGTAATTCTTACTACGATAATAAGTGGACAAATGCTCAATCTATCCAAGAAAAAGCTCCTCCTATCAAAGGATATGGTAAATGGAGTTGCAATGAATACGGTTACAAAGGTGATTTGTATGCAACGGTTCCAAATATAAAAATGCGATCCAAATCCAAAGAATCAAATGATACGGTGGCACCACCATCAGTTATTCGAAAAAACGGACATTCGAACTCATCTAAGAAAACTTCTTAGTGTATCGAATATCGAGTTTGCTTCCATAGAACAGTGCACGGTATAAAATGTATCACTTAAACAAACCGTCGTTATAAGCAAGCAATATCAATGTTCAACGACTCATTTAAGTTCATCATTATTCAAGTATTGTGCTGTAGAGAGATCATTTCTATGTAAATAATCGAAAAAGTGTGATTTATGTTGACAGTAAAAATTAGTCTAGGATAAGGTATGAATGTGGATGAAGAGAAGACCCACGCCCACGCCCAAAATAAAAAGTTTTCTACATACATTAAAGTGTGCTAAGATCGGAAAATCTGGTATAAATTTCTGTGGTAAATTCTGTTACTGCATATGTTGTAAATAATCATGTGTTCGTACAAAATACAATTGGCATTAGCCTAGTTTTGGTTGCAAATTATTCAAAGTATTGTTAAGTCAGAAAAGATAATTCTTTTTTGATTGGCAAAGCGACAGCATTGAAATATTCTCATCCAATTCCAGACAGATTTTGTAAGAAAACTAAATATCACATGTGGATTTCAGTCGATGACGAGCTCTTTTATACTGAGCATCCAAAAACAGGAAATTTTTAGTAGAATGAAGAGATCACAGCTGGAAATGGAATTGAACCTTAATCAGGTCAGTTCGGTTCGATTCGAGTCAATGACAGTTATCAGATTTGAAAAAAATCATCTTATACACTCAATCAAGTGTTTTCATTTCTCTCAAACAAGTCTTCAGTTAAGGGACGGTCAAGATAAATTAATATCAACGGTTAAAATACTAAAACTCAACTGGACAACACAAGAAATTTAAATGTAGAAAGAAATTTTATTATAATACGAATGAAAAACAGAGCAATGGGAATTACGGTCAATATACGATCATTATCAACCAATAAATCAAGACTCGATGGTACAAACAGGAAATAGAAAGACGTGAGTATTTCATGATAATAAATATGTAAATGACTAAACAAACATGAACAAAATAACAACAAAAGCTTCATATAACATCATAAACCTGAAATTAAACCTATAAATTAAATTGTAATTATCATAATCTAATCAATATCATTATGTAATAATAACACAATAAAATCAATAACATTAATGAAAAATTAATTACATGTCTAATAATAACAAATAATTTATTTCCAATAAACCAATAATACCAATGTTATTCCTTGTTTGTAGCATCAAGTCATGTTTTATTGGTTGATAATGATCGTACAATGATCAAGAATTTCCATTTGTCTGTTTTTCTTTCATATTATAATAAAATTTCTTTCTACATTTAAATTTCTTGTATTATTATGAATTAATTTTTGTTCGCTCGTACACGAACGAATCTTCAAATATGTTGCACCTACACTAGCCATTTTAGAGCGTTCTTTGACATATCTTTATTCATTATTGAACTGTGAAATTTCTAGCTAGCCTAGCCAAAGACAAAAGGGTGAATGAGTTCAAATAACGATTCCACTCTCACTTCTTATCATTGTAGCAGAAGATAGGGATATTCTGCAAAAGTAAAATATCTAAAATCTCGACAAGCAAAGAGCTGGTGTTGACTGAAATAGAGTCGAATCGAATTCGATTTAGGGCGTTGTCATTGATGAATCTGCCTACATTCAACATGCTCGACGATCTCGAAATGGAGTACTATTGATACAAAGTTGAAGGCCACTCAACTTACATGATCATTAGACTTTTATTTTACGAAGATTACTGAAAAATAGCGAGTGTTGATTTGGATCCAAACTTGAGACTCTTCACTTTATACCTCCATTCTTTGCGGATATCCTCGAGAGGCAATGCGAAATACCAAAGGTCAATAGAAGTCTTATCGTCGTATGCTTGATACCACCCAGTCTCTATCTTAATAAAACGACAGCAAGGTTCAGCGTTGATAAAAGCACTAAGAAAATAATTATTACATACAGAAAATATTCGGAATATAATATCTTAGAAAGGCAGCGCATTGAATTTGATCTATTTAAGATTGATAGAGCGACTTTTCACCATTTAGTCTACTCTGTGATTTCGAATATGAAAATGTATGATCGGCACATTTCAGCTGCACTCTAGGCTCTGTTTAAAAAACTCGTCTTAAATTGGCTTCATATAAATTGCTGTCCTTGGCTTGTGAAATAGCGCTCGAAATAATCTAAAACAACGATCGGTAAAGATTCATTCGGTATCGCTACACTTCATAGTCATGATTGCTCTTCAAACCAAAAAAACAGAGAGAGAACAAAACAGACTAAATTAATACTACGTTTTTCTTCTGTACAAAAACCATAAGAACTATAATGCATCATGGGGGAAAATCAAGCAATTCTAGAGGTTGGTAGCCACGTTATCCTCTACAACTTTCTTCCCTCATAGTGGTCCTGCTCACAGTAAATTTTGACTTGTTTTTTGAAGCTGAGGAACATCAAATAAAAACAGTCAATCATCTCTACTATACTCTTAGGTGTGGATGCGCGTAAAAAGAAGGCTCACACTCACATCCGAAATAATGGCGAAAAGAAAACAATAATTTCGACGAATAGCCTACATTGATCATGAAATACAATTACATGTATTTCGTTGAATATGTTTTGTTTACGATTTAATATTATTGTTAAATCAACAATAGAGATAGACAGTCATGATGACAGTGTAAAAAAGCAATAAAAAGAAACGTCGCGCATAGACTCCTTTATCCTTGACACTCTCATCAGTGATAAGAATGTAACTATTTACTGAAGGGCGAAAATGGCTTGCATCATTGTGATTCGAAAGAAAATAAATGATAACGATAATAACTACAATGATAATGAAGTCTTATATACGCAGACAATTTTACGCACATCATATTGTTTCAACTAGTTAGCCCAATCGGCGAAGTGCAACTATCCATATACTTATACAGCAGCAAGTAATAGGAATAAAAGGCTAGTTTTACTATCAATAGCATTGCTTTGATCAAGATCAATTTTGGAGAAAAGACTTCGAGATAGTTAAGTGAAACTGTAGCTGTACTCTTAGCTATGATAAATTTTCCTAAGAGTTTTTTCGAAGTAGTGCAACGATATTGTTAAGTGTCTGAAAGGCGCGTAATATTGCAAGCTTCCTAGTTGTCTTTATCGTGAATGATCCGATTCGTTCTTTTTAAACTCACCTTTTTATCCTTGTACACAACTCTTAATGTAATCAGATCAAACAGGGGCAATCATTAATATCCTTTCATTTGTCGTCATCAAAAGTCTTTACCATACATTCGGCTTTTTAGCTGATTTTCTTTGTTTGAAGGATGATTCGCAATGCGGCATTAATGCTAATAATGCTAGCTATGGTACATTGCCATAGCTTACTTCGAGATGAATACATTCGTGCCAAAGCTCGACCAATGACTAACGATCGTCGTCATGATTTGGGCAATACTCGTCCAGCAATACCAATAAAAACTAGCAAATCAGCACCTTCCAATCCTGACTTGTTTTTTCCCCCTCTACCTGGACAGTCGAATAATGATTTTCATCCACAATTACGTCGACTGCCATCAGCAAATGAACCATTGTACTACTATTCATGGCATATTCACAGTTATTTCTTTCATGAAAATGCCAATGTTACTGCTCGTGCCCTAGCTATCCGACAACAATTTATGGAATATTTCAGCATAAAAAAATGTGAAGGCAATTGTTTTATGGGTGGAATATTTGATAATTGTACACGAATGTGTGTTTGGGATCCGGTAATGGGTGTTGATGGACCCCATCCATATGGGCAATGGGGTGTCTATTTGCCAAATGAGCTTTTGATGGATACATTATCGTGGATGTCGGCTAATCATGGCGAATTCGAAGTTTTGTTTCATCCAAATACGGGAGAAATGATTGGTGATCATGATAGTCAACAACGAGCTATGTGGATCAAGCAACAAGTGCCACTTGATTTAGATTTTCTGAGATGGTTACAATGTCAATGGTTTGGATGCATTGACAATTCGTAAAATACTTTCCATTGTTTTCTACTAACGATTTATGTAACGAGTTTGCTAATAATAAAAGAGAGTTTAATTTATATGCATAGATCAATTTTGATCATACGATTGGCAAATGGATTCAACTCAGTAATAGGAACGTTCCAGAAAATATCATATGCATTTGAAGAAAAATGAAACTTTTTTGAAGTTCTCAAAAATATTATATCAAGTTCTGTTGAAAACCAATGCGAATAAACGTCATGATACTCAAGTTAGTCGAGATAGGCAAGTGGAGTTTTGCTTGTTTAAAGATCTGTCAGTAAAAATGAATAGTCATAAAAGGTTCACGATCACAAGATTTACAAAAATGTCTTCGAGTTCTTACATTCTAGGCGAATGAGTCGGCTGTATCATAGTAAATGGGCTTTGCCGTATTTTAACAGTAATTTATCTTCTTTTTTTAAACCCCTAAGACCTGATAGGTTTTTTCCAAGTAATGCGTTCGGAAATTTTCTACAAGAATTCAATCAATATTGTATTTCAAAATGAAGAAAAAATGTATTACGCAAAAATATTTCGAAAGTTTGCAGGTCGTCAATGTTTTATTCTAAAGTTCATGCTTTTGCAGTTTTATCTTTTTTGCGTGATGAAAAACACACATATCTAGTTGGATGCTGGCCGGTATGAGTGTGCGAGTGTAAGAATGTCATTTTTAGAAGAGTAGATACTCACATCCCACACCCCCACATCCCATCAAACCCAACTGGTCTGAAAGTTGCAGTTTTCTCATTAACTGTTTTGCAAAGATATAAAAAGCTTTTTTTTCGTGCAAACATAAATTTGATCAACGTCACCCCACTAGCGACATCAAGATCAGAGTGCATTTTAATTGAATTTTTTCAAGACAATAAATTTCTTCAAGGAAAATGAGCATGTTTAAGTATAATTTGGATCATTCAGAGAAATTATGTTTTTGCTGCTTGTAGTTGCTCAAAGAAGTCAACCACTCCCAGTAGTCTGTGTTACTGACTCATGAAAACTATACATGCATAGTATGACAGAACTTTTGCGTCATTATCGGTGTCGTCATCAAACATAGAATTTGGTTGGTACAAGTTTTGCTTAGCAGAAATAAAACTAAACTTCACTCAATAATCGTTTTACAGTCAGCATGAAGGCATGCAACGGTAATTTATTTTGCAGGATGTGCTTATTGCTTGATATTTCTATTGAAATGATGGAACATGTTGCTCGCTGGTGAAGTCATTTGGATTACACTAGTGTGCTAGAAAAATAACAGTAACGATCATTGATGCTCTTCATAGTCTATATGGTTTCAATCATGTTGTTTTGTTGGTTCTAGGTATGCTTTCTTGATTCTTTGTGCTCTTGCTTCTGCTTGTATGATCTCAATATCACATGAGAAACTTTCATGCTGCCTTTCTTGTTCTCTTTCTTTATTAGCTTTTCTTATCTCATACGCCACGTATCTCTGAATCAGCTCTATACTTAAGTCAATCCAACTCATATGGTAAATGTTCTTGTTCAAAACATGAAAGCAGGTCCATACGCGGACCAACAAGACATGCAAACAAATTTGTTTTAAGCTGATAAATTCTATTAACGACTGAAAATTTTATTTAGATTCTACCAACATTCAAGCAATAAATAATCCGGTGTCATCACCTGGAAATACACAATGTGATCGTTGTCGCTATAAGAGAGATTGCTCGATCGAGTTTTTTACACGGTATCATGCTTATTATTTTTTTTATCATCATCGTTGTTTTGGTCTTCTTCGTTGTTGGTGCACTTGCCATAATGAAGTTGTGAGAACCCTTAATAGTCGTAAATAAAGAGGCGACCGATGCATCAAGAAAATTTCAATGAACATTATCATTTTTAGAAGTAACTCTATAATCATTGTATCATTTACTAACTAGTGGTACTTCGTTTACATTTTATTGACTTTTTCTTGAAAAATAAAATTCTACGTATTGCATACTATAACATTTCAATAAGATTCGTGTCCAACGTTAGCTGCCTTTTGTTGAAGAATAAATGCTTCTCACGATACAATCTAATTAAGAGACGCTCCATGAGAGCATCGAAAATTTAAAAAAACAAACTGTGGATGTAGCCCTAGGTGTGGAGAGGATGTAGGATGTGAGAGCGGAAGTATGAATTCATCGAAGTACGGCACCTTAAAATCTGCACCCACTCCCTAACCGTTAAATACGACACGACACTCTTTTCTTTGTCAAATACCATACTTATCGTTTTCTTTCTCATTTCGTCTACAATGGAAACATGCATCACTTCGTATTCACTCTTCTGAGAATTACCAGTTTTCTTGTCTTATGTTAACAGAGATCAACTGTGAATTAGTAACAAAGATCGTGCCCAAGTAGCGGCATCATATGAGTCTGATGTTATCACGTTGTGAGTAAAAAGATGGATTTTTCTATCGAAAAACACATTGCAATTTTGACTTGGTATTTAACCCTTCTAGAGGTTCAGAAACTTCAAAGTTACCGCTCCGAATTGAGATCATGATCCTCGAAAATTTAGTTATGACCGACAAAAGTCAGTTTCATATAAGAATGGAGTAAGACAACTGTTTTTTTTTTCGTGGTAGCACTTTGACCTAATATCAAACGATAAAGAAGTCTCTATCTAATGAATGAAATACATGGATTGATGCGGTTGTTCACACTCTATTCAAATACAATCTCAAGAACAAGTAAAAAAGATCAAGAAAACGGTCGGATAGCGGACATAGTCGAATCATCGGAGACGTCATGAGCGATTGTCTATTGGCTATTCTTTCCTTTTATAATTGCTGCTGATACCATCCATATGGAAATATCTGTTGATCGCTGAACTTATTCTAATGCTGACAGAACTCTTAGTCACTGTAAAGCTGGACTGACATCATTGAGTAACAGTGATGTTTAATAGTGGTTTCAGTCATTACCAATGATAGTCAATCAAATTATTTGAGAAAAGTTCGGTCGTTCAAATTGACCTCGCATTTGAAATTTCGGCGATTAGAGGACGTGTTTGGTGGCCGATGCTTTGATCAAGTAAACATTCCAATGCAATACTGTTTCAAGATAAAGAAATAATCAAAAGTCTTTCTCTCATTGACTCGGATCATGTTTCTATTTGCTAGAAATAAAGCTGATCAGTATTACAACACTGGCATAAAGAGTTATTTCATTTGGTTGATATTTTATTTCCTCATATTCAAGTTCAAGAAAAAAATAAATCAATAGTATCAGCGACTTTCAAGCAAGATATACTATAAAGAAAAATCTCACACCTCGAATAGTCGATGTTGGCTTGATGAATCAACAAATATGCATAGTTTTCGTTGCGTAATCTTTTATCACATAAATTCGTTTATTCCTTTCATTTTAGTTACATGAATAGTACATGTTTCGGTTTTCTTCTCTGTCTTCACTTAATTACTTTTCTATGGAAGAGTATGTCGCATATTAGTGTTGAATGAACTATATGGGAGAATGTGGATATAAGTAAAACAAAAACCAAAAACCACACTTTTACAGAACAATTTTGACCTGATCTACTTGGAAGAGGCGGAATTATGAAAAGAAAACTCCGAAACTATTCCCAGGGTGATAATTGAACCATTCAGTGGGTAAAGAATTTCTGGATCCAGTTATCCGATAAACTTTTTGTGACAGTGACTGCCAACTATACTTATATTGCTGCTACGTACTCTCGAGTCCAATCACATAGACACTCTCTTATACTATTCCCACCTCATCCCAGCTACTGAGTTACACACCAACACCCAATTACTGATGAGCTCTAACCCTGAAATAGATTCTAATCTGAAATAGTTTCAAATCTTGAAAGGATTCTTCTTTTTTTCTCTTGACAAACTTTTAGTCAAAATCTCAATTAAGTCCTGATAGTATCCCAAATTGTCGTTACAGAAATAAAAACCTGACCGAGATCCAGCAAAATCCTAAAATTGATCTAAACACACTCATCTATTCATCCTCACCACCGTACTGACCAATCTATCCACGTACACACTCCGCACCCACAAAAAAATCACCGTTGCCTTTGGTTTCATAGGTTGAAGAGAGACGGCATAGTTATTATGTGCCACTCAGTAAATAACGAAAGAAAATAAAAGCCTTCACAGTGAAAACTTTTTTGCTTTCTCTTTTTTTGTTTGCTTCAAGATTCTTCTCTGTACAGCGCTATTCAATTTTTCTGTCAAAAAAAAGATGTAAATGTTAAAGCAATGCGCTGCGCATACTCTTAATTTTGTCGACAACAAACTCGTACGCCATAGAGATTTCTTGTCGCATTTACCTCTCCGAGAGAAGTATTGATTTCTTTTAAATTTCCACTGTACAACATAATTCTTTCATCATTTATTGAGCTGCGATCGGATGTAGGCGTCGATGTCGACTTAAAGGTGAGTGTTAGTGGAGGTGAGCGTGAAAGCATGGATGTAGCCTACCTTCCCGCGATATCCTCACACCAACACCGCCAATATCGATACTAGAAGTAATTTTGTTTATGTAGTCTCGATACTTACTGTTATATTGACCAGTTGCTATTACTTTATAATTTATGTTAAGGAATATTTTTATTGAAAACATGGGTATTCACATCATTCTATACGAATAAAACATGTAATAAGAATAAAAAAAATACTAATACAGTATTCAACTTTCCATAGTTTAACGAGGACCCGATCGAAAATAGAAACAAAAAAAAGCAAAAAAAACATATTTATTTGTATGGATTGATGTTTTTAATCAAGTTTTTCTCTGAAATAGCTCCATACATAGTCGCCTTTTTTTCATAAATTAAATATCTAAAATGGAGGATGGAAGAGGAATGATAATTAAAAAGAAAGACTCAGAGAATGATGATAGAAGACGTTATCTGAGAGAATAAAGACAATTTTTTCAACTTAACATCAACCTAGAATTGAAAGACTCATCGAAGACTGAATCTACAATAGAAAAGTTTTAATT